ACTACTCCACAGTCGCGGAGTGTTGTCTCTTGATCTCCAAGTCAAGCTCTGTTCCCCGCCAGATTTTCCTGCCGCCTGACTCTGCTGCTGTCATCCTGGCTTAGGGCCACATGCACCACTGTGTGTAGTGGGCGCTTTGCCTTGTGCTAGGGGTTGGAGGCCTGGACAGCCTTGTGCAGTGCTGGGATTTGGTCTGTTCCCGTACTCTCTGGCCAGCGTCGTCTGCACTGAGCTGCTGCCCCATGTCATCAGCTGTAGAACCGAGCCACCTCAAGCAGCTCCCAGGGTCTCTCACCCTCTGTACAGTGCCTCCTGCACTGAGCTCCCAACCTCGTTCTGGGGGTTGAGGACCTGAGCTGCCCCCGGGCTCCAAAGATCCCGCTCTGTGCACTAGCTGGTGCACCATGTCTCTGGCCACATGCCAGAGGTTGCAGACCCAAGCTGCTTCACACAGCTCCCAGGGTCTGGATGCCATGCACCATGCTGCGCCCTGAGAGCCTAACCGCTGGAGCCATGCCACGCTCCCCGCTGATAGAAGTCTTCAGGAGCGTTTCCTGGGCCACTGCTTTGCCCTGCTGAGCAGCAGTCCTCAGCTCTTCTAAGCCCCACTCTTCTCTCTTCTCTGTCCCTGACATATCTGCCCCTTGTGCTGGGCATGCAGCTCCTTTTATATGCTCCAGGGCTCCGCCCCTGAAGTCTTCCAGACCTGACAGTTTGCAGTCTTCAATCAGGTCTGAGGGAGCTCTTCTCCCCTCTCCTCAGGAAAGGGGTGTGATGTTATTTCTCTTGCTTTCTCCTGATTGGTGGATGGGCTCCACCAATCAAAACAGCAGGATCTCTAGCCTGGGACTCAACCCAAGCTCTGAAAGGTGAGCCTGCTACAAGAGTTTGACGAGCTATCTATTTAAAAGAATCTTTTGTACTGGGTAAGTATTAAGGGCCCCAAACTTCTACTCTTGAAACAGAAGTTTATACTGAAGTCAATAAGACTTTGCCCTGCACAAGTCTTATACATACTGGTATATTCCTGTATGTCAGCAGGTATTTCACTACCAAATTACTCAGCTCCATAAGACAGAGGATGTTTCTGTGGATGTATCTACAGGAGCGATTCTCAACCAGGGTACTGCATCACCCTGGGCTACCCTGAGAGCCCTTCAAGGGTGCCGTGGGGTGCCAGACAACGCTAGCACTGTTAGCTGTACAAACATGATTCACAAAATAAATCCAGAGATTTAAAATCGGAGTCCACAGTATTAAAAACATTCTGATCTGCTGTGGTCTTTCTGAGTTCTTTGCAACAGATTGCACTATTCGTTTTCTACAGTCAGAGATGAGTACAAAAGAAGAGTTGGTGTTGTCTGAGTACCATCTTGAATCTAAAAAATGTTGAGAACTGCTAATTTACAGATTACATAGAAAGCTTTCACCCATGTTCTTTCTTCAAGGAGCATCAGAGAATCTCCTTGTTAGGGTGTGCACCTCTGAACATGAGATATTCAATGAGCAAGTTGTCTCCCACCCTTGTTTTTTCCAAATCTTCTACTTTTCATGGCTGTCATTCCACTTTCAACCTTGCTGCAGCTAATGCTATTTAATACTCCCAGACCCATCAGACTAAAGTCAAATTTTCTGCACCTCAGAGACTGTTGATATGCACCACTGCACACTCCAATTGCAAATACACGTGAATGCTCCTGTGTATTGTAAGTTATTTTCTACATACAAATTCTACTAAATTGTAAGTTAGGAGGCACTACTTGAATTCTCTTAGGTCTTTAGAAAGCTTTCAGACATACCATGAGTAATAACATGTAATGAATGTGGACTGATATTCCTTTTCTGTAGCTACACAGACTTGGCAATTTACATTTTCTAAATAGATAGATGAGTTATAGCTAGTTTTCCCAGTCTGATGGCAATTACTTCTTAGAAACCTCTGACAGGCTGAAACTCTCGGAATCACAGCTGTTATTCTTGGTTTGATCCCTCTTTTTAAATTAAAACCAGTAGCTGTATCAGCAAATGAGGAATTTTCCCTCTGGAATTACCTAACAAAATGCATATAAATTGAACTTGCCAACTTATCTCATTTTAGGGTTGGAGTGTCTTTTGGGTTAATGACCTGTGTTCTACCTCTGATACAAAATTCTGAAAAGAAAAATCCTAATTGAGAAAAGCAGGCCATGAGTATACACAAAATCCCACAAGTTCCCTCCCTTTGGGGTGATTTGTATTTGAAGCTTTATGATAATAGATTAGGGTGAGAGTAAAACGTGGGGAGAAAGCAATGTACAGGAAGAGTGAAAATACTTTTCCCATCCTGAAAGCATGGCCTTCCCTTTCCAAAATTTTGAAGACTTTTCCTGCATTTGATGCACCTTTATCCCTTCTGAAGCAGCAACCCAAAATGTAGACAGTTAATTGGATTTCATGTTTTCCCGGTAGCTGACCCAAGTGCAGCGAATGAAAGCTGCCATTTTAGCATCACGTCTCCACTATACCAACATGACTAGACTGCTTGATTTAAAGCCACTTGAATTTAAAATAACTGTCTCATCTCTACTTCCCCATCACCAGTTGCCCAAGTAACATTTACAACAATCTGTCATAGTTTGATACAAATTACCGACTTTGTTCAAGACAGATTAGAGAACCCAACTAGGCTGGAGCAAAAGTTTCCTTGCTGGCAGTGTGTCCACTGTTAGCCAAGGGCTGTGCAATGGGTTAAAGAACCAAATCATTATGAGGAAGAGTTAAGAGTTCAATGGTTGTGCTGCATGGGGAGATGTGCTGCTCATAACCTCTGGTTAGGGCAATGTCTGTTCCTTGATCTGCTGTTGCTTAATATTTCATAACAAACATCTCAGCTTCATGCATCTAATATGCAAAATATAAGGTCTTCTGGAAGCAGTTAGAGAGAGGAGGGATACAGGTCATCATTACGGATTTGAGAAACGAAAGTAAAAATTTATTCCATTTCACAGTATTGGCGTTTATGTGCACATGCAGAGTATATAATTTGATTCTTTGTTTTAAAGCAACAAGTTGCAAGCCTCAAAGGAATACATTCCTCAAGACCCATATTACATATTACATCCGGTCTGGCCAGTAAAAATTATCTTTACTGAGTTTAAGTAAAACCTGCCCTACGTTAATTTGAAAGTTGCTTGCCAAACTGCAAACATGAGAGGTTGCCTGTAAATTGTAAGTTCTCTGCCTAAAGCTCATAAAGGAAGCTGCTGCTCATCGTCATAATCTGAGCAGCTAACATTCCAGAAAGCTCACAGATCTTTTAACCCTCAACCAGAAGCCTCAAAAGCATGTTACATTACCAAGGTCTTTATGTGCCCTTATCTTCTTTAATAAACTATAAGTCAATTTAAAAAAAATGACTTTAAGAGATGTTTTTCACCTGAATTAAAACAATCTCTACCAATTAGAAGAGAGCATGGGACTTAAGAGATTTTTACCTCTACTAGGTAATATCAAGTTTATTTAACCATAAGCCTGTGACAAACCCTTCAAGCCTCTAACTTTTAAACGCATAAATAAAAAATCAGTGGTTCATGCCAGGAGTGTTGGACATAGAGGGTGCAAACAGAAGTTACGTTTTTCATGAGACCGGCACCCTGAAAGCACTCAACAGCTATGCTGTGACACACGTGCATGGCAGTAGAGCACTTTCAAAATGGCCGACTGCACAACAAATTAACCCTCATCAAATGAAGGATCAGAGGAAGGTGCTCCACTTTAGAGCACCTCAGGGAAGTTATGTTCCCTAGGGCTAAGGGATGGGCTCATGCACAAACTGCCAGCTGGGGTTTGTGGAGTGGTTTGCAGGGTGGTTACGCGTGGTTTGTGGAGGCAGGTGGATAGGAGGCCCCCCCCACCTCGTGGCCTTCCCCAGTCCCCATCCCCCGCTCCAGCTCAGCTTGGGGCAAAACCCCAGCCGGCAGCTTGCCTTCCCTCCGACCCCAACCCTTTCCTGCTGACAGCCCCAGAGCTGGGGTGGGGAGCAAGGGGAACAGGCCTGAGGGAGAAGGGTGGCTTTTCAGATTCATACAGGCTCCTTGGGCTCCTGGGCAGGCTCAATCCCCCCACCCCAATGTCTGTTGGGTTGTGGGAGAGGGCACTTTAACTCATGCTACTTTATGTAAAGCACCATGAGTTAGAGCTGGACAGCCTGTATGTCTGTCAGTGCCCACCGTTTGTCTGTACAATTCTCCATTCCTGTTCAGGTTTTATGCACAGTGTGCAAGGGGACTTGCCAGAAGCATCACCACCGGCAGTAACCGAGCAAACATGCTACCTGTGAATAGCTAGGCAGTGTAAGCAGATAAGCAGCTGGGGGTGGGAGTGAAGGAATCTTCTTAAAGCACATAAACAGCCATCATATTCTTTGATGTAAGAGGAGCTTCAGTTCCTCATTTAAAATGAGTATGGCATTACCAAATTCAGTTACGTACTGACAGTAAGTTTGTTAACAGAGGGTGGAAAACATTTCACAATTATAATTGCAATGCACTTAGCAACTGACATCGCCACTGTGGATCAGTTTTCTAATGCTGACACCATCAGTTTTTCTTATAGCGCAAATTCAAGGCAAGTAATACCATTATCTTAAACCTATATAACAGAGGTATATGTTGTGACAACATATGAAACAAATAAGAGTTAGATAAAGAAGGATGGATGTGTTGTATTTGAAAAGCAGCTTCAGAAATCTTCAATACAAAACTGTGGACAGCAGTATTCAGCACCTTGCCAACCGTGCTCAATTGTAATTTCACTTATACTAGGGCAAATCAAGAGTAACCTCATGGAAAACAACGTGGCTATGTTTGCATAGGTCCACGCAATACAAGGCTTACTTTAAAAACACAGTACAGTTTTGCTACACAGTACAACAGGGGAGGGCTCAATACATTTTCAGTGGCGGTAGGTCTTGCTGTGGCTAAAGACATAAATAGAAACATAATGTTTAAAATGAGACTTACCAAGGAGCACCGTATATTCGGAATCCTTTAACTGTTACCTCTGAGTCTTGCAAGTAAATACTATTTGTCAGGAGTGACTGAACATTGTCAAAGTCCTCTGGTTTCAATTTGGACACAGAAGGAAAGCGGTAGTAATCCTGTTTAACAAGGTCTGCCATGAATTCCTTATCGAATGTCAGTTCATGATTCCCAGCAATCACTATTTTATATTCATATGGCAGGTTTCCTGAAATAACAAAAAGAACACTTAATTAGCACATTTGCTTCCCACACCAGCATAGCCAGCACAACATGTAGACAGATAACACTGACAGAGAAAAATGCCCAGGATCCATGCGTATCTCCACATGGAGCAAAAATTATCAACGCTGCTCCTTTCTGAACAAAATTTTGCTAAAATGAAAAGTAATGTCAAACAAAGAAATGTCACAATTAAAGGCATGCACAGCAAAATTAAACATAACAAACTGGCAGGTATTAAGCCAGATTCTCAGCTGGCAAAAACTGGAATGGCTCCACTTCCCTCAATAGCAGTATGCTGATTTACACCAGCTGATGACTTCACATTGAGTCTAATTAGCTAATGCATAGGTTTGGCACGCGAGTCTGCAGACCTGGACTCCAATCCCAACTCTGAAGTGATCTGCAGCAAGACACATCACATCACACACCTCCATCTGCATGTAACATGGAGATAACGTTAGTCTGCTTATTAAGTATGTTGTGAAATGTAATAAATGAATCTGTGTAACACCCTCACATGATACTGCATTATGCATCAGATGGTGATACACTTCTAAATATATATTATTGTATGAAGCAAGGAACAGGCATTGTATTTGTCCCTGGAAAAGTTGTGCCTGTGTTTTGACCCATGTCCTGGGACTAGCATGAACACACATCACCCTTCTAGTCAGGGTTTAGTAGCTTCTTTTCAGGTTTCCAGGTTGTAGCCGTATTGGTCTAGAGGCAAAAGGAATCAGAACTTGTGGTAGACATGATATCTTTTATTAGACCAACTAGATTTTTCCAAAAAAAATTCTGTAATTGCAGCTTTCAGGCACAAGCACACTTCTTCAGGCATAGGAGAAAAGATTGTAAAATTTCTCCCAGCTGGAAATGAAAGTTCATATTTCACAGAAGAGTTAAAGGTGTGGTAAAATCTCCTGTTTGGCACAGTTCAATTTTGAAATGAAATCTTCATACTTTTACATCTAAAAGCAAGTTTTACCACCTGAAACCCTGTTCCTGCCTTTGTTCGAGATAATCTGAATCATCACAAAGCCCAGAGACACCTCACCACACAAGAAATTCCTGCCCAGAAAAGTACGCCATCCTTTTACTCTTTTGTGAACTATGAAACATCATAACCAGAAGGAATATGACTACATCCTGCTTGCCACCAATCAACTCTGAGGTAAACAGATTATTCCAACTTTTCTCTAAGCCAAACCTGCATAAAATGAACTATGCCAAATAGGAGATTTTGCCATACCTTTAACTCTCCTATGAAATATGAACTTTCATGTCTACCTGGGAGAACTTTTACAATCTTTTCTCCTATGCCTGAAGAAGGGTGTTTGTGCCCAAAGATCTAGCAGGTTTAATAAAAGATATCATCTTTACCACAAGGTCTGATTCCTTCTGTTTCTTTTCAGCCATTTATTCAATGATGCAATCCCACGATAACCATTCAGAGGTACTTTGTGATGTCCCAAAATAAACTGTTTGTACTTCTTATCCTGTAAAATTCTTTACAATTTATACTGGAACAAATGTGTAGCCTGAGTGTTTTAGGGATCTCAGAGTCCTCATTAAGTAGCTTTTAGTCCCACAGCTACCCTTGCTTCATCCAGTTCAGGTACATTGCAAAGGAGTTTGACTTATGATAATATGTACCCTAGACTAAGGTCCCATCCTGTGCTAGGAGTGGCACAGTTAGACTATATAATCTTAACATTAAAGAATTTAAGACCTAAATTGGCAAGGCAGATAAAGGGTGAGCCAAAATAAATTCCACTATCTTTGTTTTAAAGATGGGAAACTAAGACAGAGAGATTAAGGACCTCATCCAAAGCCTACTTAAAGTTAGTTGGGGTATTTCCATGGACTTGAATGCACTTTGGATCAGGCTAATGAAGTCATATTTGCAGAATTCAGAGGTTTTAAGTGGTTGGCATGAATATAAATCTGATGGGTGGTTACATCTTTTAAAAATATGGCCACATTTGGTGCTTTAACAAAACCTGGGTTATTTAAAGGAATCTAGCCCTGAGTTGCTGAAAATCACACCAAAAACCTGTCAGAGTTGAGTTCAAATCCAATGCTTTTTCCACTAGATAATCTGTATGGATTCATACAAATGTAGTGCATGCTCATTATGGGCAAGAACACACAAAAATATTTGCTGCAGGGGAAAGGGAGTGAAGCTTCACAGTATCTGCTCAGGTACAAACAGTTACTTTGCAGTGATAGGGAGTTCAACTGTGCTAGTTTACCCTCTCAACAGAAGAAGGTTTAAGCTGCCATGTTTTACCTTTTCTTTCCATGGGATAAGAACACGTGCATGGGCTGTTACTACCCCACCCAAAATAAATTGTTCCATAAACTTAGCAAGAGAATGATTTCACAAAGGTAAAAGGTGTTTGACAAATACCATGGATTAGCTAAATCTCAATAGATATTTGCCTTTTCTTATTATTCTTAGTTGTTTATACAAAACTGTGAAGAACTAAACTATCATTGTTGGTGTTCCAGTAGGTGTTCCGGTTTAGCTAGGTGACTGTTAGGTAGAGATCATGGAGATTAAAAAGGTGTCCGAGAAGCCAGAGTCTGCAGTTCTTGCATACCTTAGAACTCTCACTGAAGAAATGCACAGTTGGGCTTTATATATTCATGCCCATACAAAATTCCCCATCCTATTTTTAGTTTGGTTTGTAAATATAATTAATTTTTTAAAAAGCACAAATGTAAAACAATTGGGAAATAAATGTTTGTGATAACAAGCCCAACTTTACTCCCCTGAGGCCAATGGGGAAACAGTCAGAATTCTCTCCCTTTCAATATTTATGTAATGGTAATGGGGGTTCGGCAGCATTTTAATACAAACATTTCCTGATCAAAATTAGTTAATACTGCACAGAAAATAAAATGCTACACAACTCTCCCCCCCACCAAAAATGCCAGACATCTTCAGAGGTTCTAATGTCTGAACAAAATGCAGTTCATACATATTAATAACCCTCCATGGTATGGCATTAAACTAAAAGCTGAGGGAGATGCTAGTGGGCATTTGTCACTCCTCTGCAGCTTATGTCCCACACTTCATTCCCCCCTCCCACTTCCTCTTCCCCATCTTTGCCACATGCTGCTCTGCAATTCATTTTACTTAAAAACTAGAAATGACAGGTACCTACAATTCCTGCTCTCTGTGACTCTTGGGCACACAGCAAAATTGCTATTTTCTTCTCTCTCAGGAAACATAAAAGATCCCACCGGCTTGAAATGTGATATACTTGTCATAACTATCAATTCCAAAAAACAAGCTAGAGTTGATGAAAGTTGGAGGGACAAGTTAAAATCAGGATTCTGTCAAGTTATCAACATATGCCAGTTTCAGTGGAGAAAACTTCTAGCCACAATGGATAAATGATCAAGTCTTAAATTTCACACACTGATTTTAACATGGTACTTCAAAATTAACATATATTACCAAGATCTTGCCAAATTAAAACTGGAAATTTTACTTGTAGGCAATTATTTTTAAGCCAAAACTGGATGGTTCACTTTGGAATCAGACAGAAATCAGCAGAAATAAACCTCAAACTGATCAAAGACTCTGAACAGTAATGAACACTTACTATATGTGCCTGATATAGCCAAGAGAAATTAACAAGTAGTCATTGAACAGTTGCTTAAGCAACATGAGAGCAGAGCAAGTTAGTTTGCAGGTTGCAACTGTTATGTGGTGGGCTCATGGCCACTACAAAGGCATGTCAACAATAGCTCCTGCTATATACATCCTTTATCAAAAAGGAGACTACAAATTCAGAATCCTGTGACAGCAAGGGCCTGAAAACATCAACATCTGCCAACAAGCAAACATACCGTAAGTATTTTGTGTGGGGTGAGTGTGCTCACAGTGTGCTAACTTGAACCATAATTAATTATGGGCATGCCTCTATTTGTTTTCAGTCCTTGAGTATCCATTTTTTCTTACAGATCACAATTATTGTGCTTTATTCATCTTTAATAATTCATAGGGCTGTACTTTCTGTAAATACTTAAGTACTTTCACTGTTTTTCAGAGGACTGGCAGGATGATCTGACCTCATTTCACATTCTCCTGGGTTTAGATTCTACCATTTTAATCCCTTTACTGTAACTGAAAGCCACTGAAGGGGCCTTGGGGGATGGGGACAGGGAGACTGTTGCTCTTAACCCCCCACTCTCACTCTCCCCCCGCAAACACAAACACTACAAAAACTAAATATCTAAAGCCAACACAGGCTCATTATAAGCAAAGTGTAATGGGTAGGTTTCTTCTATTGCTTTCCTCTTCCCCCACATAGTACTAATCACAGTAATAAATTGCATCCAATCAGATCAGGGTATTGGCACAGCATACAGTATTCAGGTTCTCTCAACCTACTCCTGCCCCCCCCCCCCCAAAATAATAAAGAG